ACCCCACGCCCCTCCAGCCCCCTGCACCCTGTCCCCCTCCAATCCTCTGTCCCCCTTCTGTCCCCTGCACCTTGTCTCCCTCTGGCCCTTGCGCCCTATCTCCTTTTCAGCCCCCTACACTCTGCCTCCCTCCACTGCCCCCATGAGCCACAATCCCGCTCAGCCCCCTGTACCTCCCCCCTTTCTGCCAGCCTGGGGTCTGCTGAGTTCCCCTCTCTCCCGGGAAGGGGATATATTCGCGGGAAGGCTGTGCCAAGCTGGTCCCCACCTCTGTGCGCAGTACGATTCCCAGCCCAGTGGGGGAGAGGACGCCGGGCGGACATGCCTGCAGGATCGGCACCGAAGGGCCAGCCTCCCTCTCCACTGGGCCCGTTACGACTTCCTTCCACCCTGCACAAGTCCGAGGCCGGGGAAGGAGGAGCTGGGGTTGGAAATGAGCACCACAACCCACAGGAAAAGCACATGTTGGTGTTAGCACTGCTGGAGAGGGGAGCTGCATTTCCACACCTTGAAGGTGTGTGTGTGGACACTGTGGTGTGAATGCTGCCTCGAGGAACCAGGTAAACTGAGGCATGCGGTGTGGCACCAATGGCACTTTGCTACCAGCACTTTCGGTGGTGGTGGGAGAGGCCAGACCTGGCACGAGTGTGGTGGGGTGGCCTCAGCGTGGCAGGGCTCTGATGGCTGCACTTCAGACTGGTTTGGGGTGCAAAAGCAGGGAGAGCAGCAACAGCAGTTGCACTAGCATAGCTTTTGTGCAATGGTAAGCTGTCCCCAGGCCAATGCTGTGTGCCTTTTAAATGCCTCTGTGCCAGGATCCCCTATGTGCTGCGTGTCTGGGGTGCTTCAGAGACCCGGCAAGCTCAGCAAACCAGTAATGAAAGTGTTGGGCCATTTTAGGCTCTCCTGTGCCATATGTGCTGTCCAAAAGGTGCACTGAGAGAACAGGGGCCAGAATGCAGCAATGTTTGAGATCTTTAAGAGTTTCCTGCTTGATTTCATACCTTGCCAGCTGGGGCCCTCTGACCCTGCTCTCACTTCTGCAGGGCTCTTACTCAGCTCAAGGATGCTCCAGCCTCATGTCAGTCTGCACCAGAGTGGGAGAAGCATGTCCTCTCACTGTAGACCCATCATCCACATCCTGTGCACCTCGCTCAGGTCTCTCCTAAACCAAGAGCGTGAGAAACCTCAGCACAGGCGCTGACAGTGGGACCTGGCAGATCCTAGGGATGGCTCCAAGCACAGCCTGGATCCCCAGTGCTCAGCTGTCCAGTGCTGCTGCTGGAGCTGCCCCAGGGGCACGGGGAGTCGGGGCAGGAGCAGCAGGGCCCAGGATGCTGGCAGGTGCCTGGGCGGAGGCAGCTCCGCGCACCCTGTGCTGTGCTGCAAATGCTGCAAACATAGCAACCAGCGGCCACATGCTCCGTGCCAGGGGATTTCTGCTGAGAAGCAGAGCCAAGGAAACAGAAACAGGGCTGAAAGGGAAGCCAGGGCCCAGCTGAACTTTTTCTGCTGGGGCAGGAGGCAGGAAACGGCAGTTTGGGCCCTTGCAGGAAAGGGAGGTGCAGGCAGCACGCCGGCCTGGGGAGGGACGAGGGTTGCTTCCCGGGATCCCTCGGACACCATTGCGCGTGGTGGCAGAGCCTGCTAAAGCCCTGTGCAAGGGGCACAGGCACCCAGCTGGGGGAAAAGCCTGTTCCGATGCCCCCATGCTGGGACTGCAGCCGACCCCAGAGCCCCCCACACCCTGCCCCATTGCAGGATAGT